CAGGGGGAACCATAAGCAACATGCAGATATGGGTATTTATGTGTCTTTCCACAGCATATTTGCACTTCTGATGTTATTTTGTTCCCTACTGGTGTTAGTAGGCACTTTCTGGTCTAGACTGATCTTCATGGTTAATGCTGGGACATTTCTTATAAGCCAGCTGCAAAGAGCCAGCCCATCTAGGGAAGGCTGGAGGAGGCGGTGAAAGGCACGACCAAAGTGCCGGCAGCTGAGCAGGGAAGAGGATGGGTGCCTTGAGAGAAGGATCCTATAAATCCCCAAAGCTGCCTTGCTCCCAGCCATATCCCGTGGCTGAACCTGTCTTGTGCAGGACCCAGGGAGTCTCCTGAGTTGCTGCAAGGCAGTCCTGGGGAGAAAGGATGACCCCTTTTATCCACAGCTGAACTTCGTCTCTCCCTTTGGCAGTGTGCGTTTCTCCTTCTGCCAATGACCAAATTAAAACTGAAAGGGGAGTAGCTGTAACGCAAGCATCCAGCTTTTAATAACTCAACATCCTTCCCAGGATGCTTGATGACCAACATCTCTCTTTGGCTTTTCAGCAGCTCTGCTAATGCCACAGCGCTGTGGTAATTTATTTCAATCTTACACGAAAGAAGCATAAAGTGGGGTATTGACCGACTCTGACTTTTTTAGTAGAATACGCCAGTGCAGTCATCCCCTGGCTACAAATATCCACGGGAAGAATAGATGTGTCCTTTAATAACAAGGAGAGTGCTTAAAAAAGAACACTTTATTGCAGTGTTGCCTTCACCACAGTAAATTGCAGCATTTTCATTTTCCTGTATTTATTGCACTGAAGTGTTTATATCACTGTGAAGCAAATATTTGCTTTCAAAGGTCACTCATTGTCTCTCTCTCCCTCTGGGGATATATGTAGGTCTCTCTTAGACTTCACTATGATTCCGTAAGGATATACAATGTTCTGGCCATGAGATCCTTTATTGCACCCGAGCACTACTAAACTAGCAGATGTAGAATTCAAAGTATAATAGGCAATGCGTTTCCATTAGCCAGTCTCTACGCTTTTCTGTAACTCTCAGTCTCCTGTTGTGCTCCTCTGCCAGCCCCGGTGTAACACGCAAGACTGGCTCACAGGGAATTTGATGTAAGCTGCCCCGTTCCCTCGGCTTGGCACATGATATTTTTTGTAACAACATTTGGACTTCTGTCTTCTTTTAAGAGAGCATTACGTATGTTTGTCTGTGATCCCAGAGGGTTTCCCTTTTTTGAAACAGAGAGACCAAGATCCTTGCAAAATTTTGCAACTGCATCTGCGTATGCAATTACTGCAAGTATAAACACAAATTGACTGAGTGCGTGCAAGTCGCTGTAGCTTCTGTAGCAACTTTTTAATCAAAGCTTAAGATCCTTAACATAGTACGTCACTTTGTTTTGATGATCTGTCACCTCTGCAGTAACCATAGACAAAATAAAATGTAGAGAAAATTAAAGAGCACTTTTTGGAGAGGTTATGCCCAGTCATATTGGGGATTTTTAAATCATTGTAGGCTTTTGGTACTTGATTCAAATCAGCTTGAATGAGAACAGAACACAAAATATCACAAGGAATTTATTCCCCGAGGTCCCCAGTAGAATCCTTGGTCAGTTCCCATGTAACTAAAACAGCAGCAGGTTGTAGTAACAGACAAAACCAGACCACTACTTCACATCTTGAAAGCCCATCCGGCAGTCAGTGAGTGCAGCTCCACTACCACTCACATTTGCTTGGCCATTTCTCTCATCCCTTGGTTTCAATGTTCTGATAAATCAAGCGGACCATATATAGGCCCCACATTTTTTTTAAAAAAACGTCTTAGAGGGAAAACCTAATTTGTACTGTAGTGATGTAATTCCCTTTAGAACATACGAATATGTTCTCTATGGGACTTTATAGATAACAGGGTTTGTTGCTGGATTTTCATGAAATTGGAACTGAATTTAAGCACATATGGGGCTTCTCTTATCTCTAATCTGTCCTAGTCCACCTTTAGAACTGCAAAATCTGAAAAAAAATGAAACCCATTCCTAGTCACCTGCAACATATATGCAGTTTATCATACTGTCTGCAAATGAGTAACCTTTATTGATTCTTGCGCATGGTTTTCTATTAAGTAAAGTTGAATCAGCACTGCTGCAGGGTACTTTTGTTTATGACTAAAACTTGATGTAAAATGACTTGTCTGGAAGAATGCTTTTTGCTATTTCTCAACCCATTCTAAGTGCTTTACAAATACCAAACAAGCTCAATAAACCTGTCAAATTCAATCACTTGCTCCAGAACATCTCTCTGGTTACAACCTCTGACATTTTTTTCAGTTTGATGCAAAAAAAGGATGCATCTGTCACTAAAATGTCAACTGATGCTTCTAATTAACCAAAAAGGAAAACTCCAAAGAAAAATCAAGAAGTTCCACCGCTTTGTTACTTTTTTTGCACCACCCAACACTTGCTGGTTTGTGATCAGAATTTAGTAAGTAAAAGATCCAAAATCAGGCTGGAATCTACTTGAGAACTGAGTTTTCTGCACATTTTTTACAATCTGTGGTGACTGAGAAGCAGACAGCATTATTAGCTATTGTCAGGAGAAGCACTCATCTCACCTGCACTTGCTTACAAGTCTGTAATCATTGAGCTCACATGGGATATGCTTAGAGATTGAACCAAATCCCCTGTTTACAGTGAGGAAAACACTACCAAATAGACATAAACCAGGACCAGTTTTCTGCTCCTCACAGTGAGATGTATACACCAATTAGATCAGCTCCAAAATCATGTCTAAATCTTTGTGACTTTTGCTAAAGATCAATGCTGCTCTTCTGCCAGCACAAGTGTAGTGAGGAATCCAGGCAGAGGAGAATGTTTTATTGCTGTGCCAGAGCTATGTTAATGCTGAGTTTTGCCTCGATCTGGGAAAAAACACTATTTGTGAAGCAGTGACTGCTCTAGTGCCAGCCTGTGCCAGGTGGGACAGGAGTTTGGACAGTGGTTCTTTATCAAAATAACTTATTTTTATGCCAGTCAAGCTGGCTCCATTTGCTGATCAGGAGCAGATCAGGAGCAGCTTCTTCATGAAGCTGCATGATGTGCCACAAAAAGCAATGTGCGTACAGCAGTGGGGTGGGAAGGTTGGGGTAGCCTTGAAAACCTACCCACTCTTTCACGTGCCCTTCAGGAGGACACCAGTTCCTAATTCAATTTTTCCTCCTAATCCTCGGAGTGTGACAGTTTTGCAAAGCTTATTTACTGCTGTTTGTGAGCATCCTTGAAGTGCCTGATATCAGTCTGAATATTAGCCATGAAATTAAGCTCCACATTAGCATCATCCGGGGCTGCAGATGAGTTGCTTAAGCTTGGTCCTTCACACCACTGTGACCATGCAGCTGGCAGAACCGGGTGGGCTTCTTTTCCAGCATATATTTGGGCTCCTAAATGTTGTGTGACCCTTCACAGAATGTCAGCCTCCTTCTGACAAGGACGTAGCGATGCGCTCAGTGATGAAAGTAGGATGCTGTGCCAGTAGCTTCAGGGCTAGCTCTCCAAGATGGATTTCTTCCTGCTGTAGCTTCAAAGAGGAAAAGCAGCCACGAGTGAGGGCAGGGCTAATGTGAAAGCATGAAGGTCACATATTCCTTCATAGATAAGAAAAGAAGTAAATTTGTTGCTGGAGCTGCAGAAGAAATGCAAGGAGTGGTCTGCTTTCCTTACACATTTCTAAGTAAACAGGGTGTGATCCAGGAAATATCCCTGCCACACAGCCGTACCTGTTCAGCTCATACTCCTGTTGTGCTGATGGAAAGTGCTGTCAAAGCAATAAGTGGGTTCATCTCAGATAGAAAATAATTTGCTTTTAAAAAGAGTTATTATTGTTAAAATTTTAGAGCCAAACTCTGCCCTGGCTTATCTTGTTTTATAAAGGCTACACATATCACAAAGACAGGACAGAAGATAGCCCCTGGGATTTTGCTTTCCTACAGCAGCTTTACTGAAAGGGGCTGTTTTTGTCCTCTTTCTGTAATTGAGCATGATGGCATGTGCTTTATGGCTGTTTATTCTCAGTCCCCCACAACTTCCCCACCTCCTCTGCACCTGGGATTAGGTTTTTCTGCAATGAACAAATCTAACATTCAGTGAGCAGTAATTTGCAATGTGGCATGCTTGAATCAAGCAGAGAAATAAGCCAGTGTTGTTGTTATAAAGACCTGACAGATGGTAGGAGGACCCGCCTTTCTTAATCAAGTCATGCTCAGTAATCAGAGCTAGCTCGAATTTATAACAAAAAAGAAGCCCTAACCAAATGAAGATTAGTGGGCTGCATCCTGATCTCGGGTTAGGACGAGCTCAGTGGCGTTGACAACGCCAGATAAGTCCTGCAGTCTTTTCACCTGAAATGAAAGATTCACCCAGGTAGATACCTCACCCGATCCAGCTGTAAACACCGCTTCAGAGTCTGAACTAGAGCATCCTGGACAAGCCGTTAGCTGATAAAAATCTGAAGTTTCATTGTCTTTAATTTCACTAGAGATACATTAGCTGAGTGCCCAGCCCTCCAAGCGATGCAGTTGAAATATAGGATGCGAGCGGTATAGGCTTGACCTTGACCTCCTTTAAATTAAGGCTTTTAATTCTAGGGCAGAATAAATGGGTCTGAAGCCCACTTCTGTTACCAAGCAGTGCCCCCTAAATCTCCAGATGTGGTGTGTATAGCTTTTGAATCATTAATGAAAAAAGAAGGATTTGTTTTTCCTCAGCGAACACAGTAAGAATAGATCCTTGTTCCTCAAGAGCGATTAATAGCACAGGAGTAAAGCACCACCTTGACAAATCCTGTGTGCTCTGTGTAGGAATGACTATCCAGAATGAAAGCGTTTGGGTGAGGGCACTCGTAATAAAAACACTTCTGGGGGACTGGCATTTAAGCACATCTCAGTGCTTCAGGGAGCCTAACCACTCCGTTTCTTTCCCTTTTCACTGTCTTCCAGGCTCGCAGGCAGCTGAGCACAACTCCTTGATCTGCAGCTTCCACAAACACACCCACAGCTAAAATGGCGGAAGACGCGGATATGCGCAATGAGCTGGAAGAGATGCAGCGGCGTGCCGACCAGCTTGCTGATGAAGTGAGGCTGAGGGCTAAGCAGGAACCCTGGGGCTGGGTGTGGGTGACAGGCATGGCCAGAGACAGGAGCTGGTCTGGCAGAGGAGTTCTGGGACTGATTCTGTTTTCTGTCATCTTAACACGGAAAGCAGAACTGGAAAAGAAATTAAACAATTCAGCATCGTGTTTGGTCCAGATTAAGTAGTTTAGATTAAGATATTTATTGATCATGAACATGGTTTAGGTACTAGGACATGCAGCAGTTTGACTGACCTTAGAGCAAAACCCAGCAATATGATATTGTCTGAGGATCCCTTCAATCTGCCAAGCCTATGCAATATTAAATGTCACCAGTTAGGTGATTGCAAAGTAGCTGAACACTGCAGGCTGTGTTTCTAAAGTGGAACACCAGCTGCTCCCAGCACCACCACGGCACCGCAATGGTGAGGGGAGCGCAGGCGTTAGAGCCCGCAGCTGCCCCGGGACGCGGTGGGAAGCGCTGCATTGTGAGCCCTCCTGGGGGCTGAGGATGAGGAGATCGCTGTCACCCGCCGATGGCCTGATTTGGGGGGAAGGCAAAGAGCACAGGAGAAACATGCTGTCAGCGTGAGCCTGCACATTAGTGAGGGAAACTGTGTCTTGCCAAATCTAAGTGGTCTAAGTGGCTTTTCCTGTTTTTTCCAGTCCCTTGAGAGCACCCGCCGAATGCTGCAGCTTGTTGAAGAGGTAAGGACTGCATTTTATTTGAGCTTCTGTTGTGAGCAAAAGCGATGGAGACTGACACATTGGGAGGTTCCTTCTTCCCTCTTACTCACAGTGCTAGGGCACGGCCATGGCTTTTTGTACCACTCCGTCCCTCCTCACCCTACCCCAGGCAGGCAGCTCATTTGAGACACCATGCCTCAGCTGCCCAGCATCGAGCTGCAGGCCAGCCGCTGAGGCACGATGTTTTGCCCATATCTGAGTACCCATAGAGACAGGCTGCTCGAGATAAGGCAAGGGAGCAGCTTCTGAAGGTGACCCGGAGTGAGGGACAAACAGCTGAGTTTGCTGCAGAGCTCCTGGAGCCTCGTGCTGGCACCTCCCTGATGTCCTTGCCATATCGCTGCAAGCAGGGAAGGTGAGAAAGGCCCTCTGCCTCTTTGCCCTGTCCTCTTTGATACCTCCCTCTACAAAACCACTTGCAGCTATTTATAGAGCATCAGTCACCACACGTTAAGTGCCACTTCACGCATCTCTGAAACATTTATTAGGGTTTCAAGGCTTATGAGCTGTCCTAGATCGACAGCTCTGGAGAAGGAAGTTCTCTGTTTCCACGGTGCTGGGGAAGGGGACTTGTGCTCAGCCCCCACGGCTAACACAGCCTGCACCCACCTGCAGGGGTCACCCCCAGAAGGAAAATGCAATTTGTCCTCATTTCACCCTCTTCGTAACAAAGGGCTTTAAAAGCTGGGTGCTACCAAACTTGGTTCAGGTTAGAGCAATCAGGCATCAGGCGGTGGAAAACTTTGCTCCTGCCTGACAGGCTGTGTTATTTCCAGACACTGTGCGAGCTGTGGCTCTGGAACTGGTGACATTTTTAATCAGGGTCATCAGTACTGACAGTCCCGGTACTCCTGACAACTGGAGAAGTCTCCAGCAGAGACAATGGGCAGAACATGACATCAGGTCCCACGTCCAGGAACAAGCACAAGCCCAGCCGTAGGCTTCACGGCCTCAAAATCAATCAGGACTGTGGAGATCAATGGAGCCCAGTGGAGACAAAATTAAATTTCCGTGTACAGATAGATGAGCAGATGGGTCATTGAGCATAGTCAGCATCACTTCTCTGCCACAAACAATTCAGATCTGGGCCCCTTGCAGCCAAGGCACGCTCTTGTCTTGCAAGCAATCTGCCCCTCTTCTCTGCTCAACTCCCTGGATGTGCCATTTCTAACCTTTGCTTCACATCACCTCCCGGCTGGACGCAGCTCCTGCTTTAATTCACTTCGCTGACATGCACAAGTCTTACACGTGTACCTTCACAAACACAAGGCAGGAGAGCACGCTGCCCCAAAATGCCTGCGATCGAAATAGACAACGCAGATGATGAGTGGGAAGAAAAAGAGGCACAGGAAAGGGAAGTGATTTGCCCAGGGCCGAGCCATTGGTAAATATCAGCCCTGTCTCTCCCAAGCTGTATTTGTGTGACCTATGCACTGCTTGAGTTTTCCTAACATATTGAATGAGCATATTGTGAATGCCACTGGAATTTTAGTATTAAATCACAGCAAATGGCAAAGTGGGAGGAGAACTGGGAGTGCTGCATTTACCAATGAATTTGTGTAGGACTCCAGTGCTTCTTGGAGGAGTGCGGCATCTCTCTGGACCTGGCTTTTATTCAGCTGCTACAATATCTTCCTGTGCAAATACAGAAGTTTCTAAAACTAGCCCTGAGTAGTCAAGGGAATTCATTTACAATGAGCTGAATATTATTTTCACTAATGTGACTACAAAAGACCTTTAAAATTCTCCTGTGCTCTGAACAGCTGGTTGATTACTCTGACCCCATTTTCTAGGTACTTCACAAAGCACGCAGCGGTTAGGGAGTGAAAGATTTTAGACTAAAAAGACAAGTGGCGAGTGTCTTTGAAATTGAAGCTTGCACTGTTCTGATTTAATAGACAAAAAAGAAATCCGATTAGACTCACTTGCTTAGCAGAACCTGTCTAGTGGGTAGAGATAGAAAATATTCTTCCTCAATGAAAGAATGCTTTTTACTTTATTCTCTTGATAAAACAAATCCAGTACTCCTTAACGAGGAAGAGCATGCCCCCATGTTTAAGCATTATTCCTATATACATATATATGGATTCCTGTCAGGGTTGGCTCCGCTCTGCTGGATGCTGGGGAAATACAGAGTAAACAGCCTGACTTGGCTGCGCTCTAGGGACAGAGGAGTGCTGTCTGCTCAGGGAAGGCCTACAGCAGTACGATGCTGAAATGAGGCCAGAGCAGGAGGGACAAATCTGATGTCCACAAAGGATTTTCTGGGCCCTCTTTGCCTCAGAAGACTCGGCTGAGTCTGAAGACTAAGCTCTGCTGCTGTTTGCAGGAAATGTCAGCGAGGAAAACGGAGCTGTTCTCCTTGCTGAAGGACCAAATCTGTTACCGCGGCTCATTTTATAACCCAGGCTTTGCAAGGAGCTGATTGTTTCAGCCCTAGCACAACAGGAGAAGCCAGAAGAAGTGGTGAGTGGACATTGTAAAGTGGCCACTGCTTTGCCCGAGGGCAGCTACGTACTGGGATGGCGGATTACAAAAATCAGTTTGCTCTGTGGTGCTCAGCATACCTATGCAACACACAGCTACATCCGCATTAACCAACGGCATTGGAACTGCTTGCTACTCACTGCCATAAACACCTGCACTTCATGACATTGCTGTGCAATGTTTCCACCAAAACATAAAACAAAAATGAACTTAAGCGGGAGAAGTAAGACTAAAACATAGTTTGTAGCTGACTTTCTCATTATCTTCTTGTTCGAGCTTTTAACCTCTGGGCTGGCTGTACTAAATGCAGAATAACACAGTAGGAGAAAAGCCGTGAGTCTGCTACCATATTCTAGTGGAACCACCATCGCTTTTAAAAAAATCGATCATTGTAAGGTGGAAAGAAGATAGTTTCTAGCTCTGACACAGCAAGGGAAAAAATATCAACAAGATCAGTAGTGCAGAAAGCCCAGCAAGAAAGCACTTAGCAACGAGCACAGACAAAAGAGTTGTTTTGTACATCCAAATCCAGACAGGACTATTTCTCCTCTTACATGCTGCAGGGTTAGAGTCAAGTTTATTAAGCTATCAGAGCTGAAATGCTAAGCTGTGGAAGTCTGATAACGTCACGATGCTGCTCGGAACAGGACACTGAACATACAGTATACCATTTTACTTACCTCCTTCATTTTTGATTGGGAAGTTAAGTTTCCTGTGACATTATTACCACAGTCAAATGCCCCTTAATTATAGACTAAAGAATTTTAAAAAAATCTATTAATTTAGATTTTGATCCAAATCTTGTCAAATGCTGATTTGAAAAATCCCTTTGACATCATTAGCTATTGGAATGGTTTTACTCAGACAAGTGTTCTAGTCTGTGTAATTCCACAGAAACACATGTCTGGCCCAGAGGAAGGTGATTCATAACTCTGGTGTCAGTGCTTGCCATGCAGGATGAAACCCCGTGTAGCTGGGTCTGTCAGCTGGGTAGCACTGGAGCCAGGGACATTGCACTAGATGAAAACCAGGCACGCAGGATTCAAAGGGGGTTATACGCAGACCTGTATTGACTGAGGATCTGAGCCCCAGGGTGAATTAACAGGCTTGGAAAAGTAACAAGGCTTTTCGGTCAGGCACGGAGAGACAGTACAGTGTTAACAGGGTGACAGTGAACCTGGAGCTGGAGTTGACGAAATGCATTACTACGGATGACTAAAAGTGTTTCTTTGACCACAGTTTTGTCTTTAGGGTGTTGACATGCCTCTTTAGTGTCACTGGGAACTGCTAGCATTCTCAGCCTGTCTTCATTTACAATTGCCTGTGTTAATTTATTCAAAACAAACTCTATAAACCATATTGATTAAAGCAAAATTCTTCATTGAAGAGGAAGTTTGTGTGTTCTTCACATAAGTGAGAGTACATACCTGTTTTTCAGGCTACTTCCTGAAACACAGAGGAAGGGGTTTCTAGAATTTGGGTTCTCTGTCTGATACATCATTCCCTTATATTGCGAGGAAAACCAAACCTTGGGCTTAACCACGGTTGGCATAGCTGCCTTTTGTAGGGGGCATGGATAGGAAACACACTGTATTTCTGGAGGGACTGGCATGCCCTTAGAGAAGTCTTCCCAATTCCCTTCCTTGGGAAATTCAGTGACATATCAGTAGTCAACACAGCAATGCATTTCCCCTCCAAAGTGCTGGGCAAATTACAGTGAATGCCTTGTAGATTAATTTAATGGGCTTTGAGTGAGACCCTACTACAAAAAAGTTTTATAAAGCTGTTATAGAGGATTGAGGATAATGTATATTAAAGACTGCAGCAGGGATCCAAATTATGCTGTTAAACTGGCTTCTCTGAAGCACACTGCCTTAAGATGATGTATCTAAAATCAGAATTAAGCCCAAAGTTTTAAAATCATATATTCTAGCATATCTGATTAGTAGCTTAGCCTGTGGTCCAGTGGAGAAACCGTGTGTGTGCTTCACAGAAACCACAGGAGTGTGAGATGTTTGCTGTATACTGTGGCAAAATCCAGCAGCCCAAATTCTCCTCTCAGGTGCAGCAGGAAGAGAAAGAGAGTCAAAAGTGAACCCAAAGAGACGAGGCTGTTGAGAGATGGATTGAAGTGGCATGTGCTCCATGAACTTTGCAGGACCCCATCAAAGATGTACTTTTCTTCTCTCCTGCCTGAACTATCCTAAGCATCCCATTTTCTGAGAACCCTTATTTTCTGCAAACTAGATGGAGGATTGCCTGTGCAAGGATTGGAGAGCCTTAACTAATTCCTCCATTGCACAGGAAGACAGAAACGCCCTAATCCTGGGGAAAGGGCACCATTAGCAGACATTTTCATAACACCACAGACCTCACTACCTCTGCCCATGCACAGGTTCCCACGTAGGATTTTGATGTTGGTGAGCGCCAGTGTGTGGGTGGGAACCTTTCCTGAGCCCCTGGATGGGACAAATCCCAAGCCAGCACCCACCCGCTGCCGTGACATGGGCTCATCTGGGAACCTGTTAACAAGGTTTTATGATCGGTTGTTGTAAAGCATATTCCTCTGGGCTGGCAACTTGCAAACACAGCTTTCGTCACCTCTCAGCAACCAGTTCGCGTGTGTCTGCCGACAGCTGCTCCCACTGACCGAGGGCAGTTTCAGAGGTAGTTTTAGTGCAGGAAACACCAACGTGTTCTGTGCTTGGGAAATCTCTCCCATGAGCCCCAAATACATTTCTTTGGTACCTTTCTTCCTCTCTGTTCCTTTAGATGAAGAAAGATTGAGATTTCTAAAGATGGCTCAGCCTGTTTGCACCGAGGGTCAGATATCCAGAGTGTTTCTCTCCTGCTCAGATGTCTGGATGATGAGCACATTTGCCAAATAGCTCTGTTTGGTTTTGGGCTATCTAAAAAGTCAGTCACAATGGAAATAATTAACTCTTGGGAAAGTCTGGAACTGTTTTAAATGTAGAAATGTGGTTTTATATGTATTTTTTCAAATTGGCTGCACATGGTTAATTTTTTGTGAAAAAGAAAACAATTAATGCTTAATCAAAACTTGGAACAGGAGGAGATTGTCACTTGATGTCTGAATCACCTCTTGTCTTTGTCAGTGAGCATCTTTTTATTAGCTTCAATGTGCTTTGGATTAGATCTCAGATGCAGACAAGTGTATTCAATGCACACTCTCTAATATTTTCACATTAGGATTAATGCTGTGGCAGGCTGAGCTACAGGTCACTTTCTTAAGAGATAGAGTATTGCCTGATGAAATGAAATGGTATCGATGGCCAAGTAAGTAGCAGAAAATTGCACCTCTTTAGCTCCGTGCAAGGATTTAATACGAAACACAAACCATAAGGTCCAATTGCCAAGTTCCTCTCTCAGCATAGGTCTCATTCAGGTCACTGGGCAGCTTAGCTGCATAAAGGCAGATTGCTCAGATCTCAGAAACTGCAGAAACAGAAGGTCAGAGGGCTAACGAGCATCAAGCATTTCTCAGCCTGGCTATGTTGGAGTCGCTGAAAGCCAACGCCTCTCACACCACCAGCTGCAGGTTTTCTAATTCAGGAAAGGTGTAATGTCACACCACGCTGTATTTACTCAAACCCAAGAGGACTCAGGATCCAAGCAGCCTCCTTGTGTTTGTATGATGTATGTTTTGTTAAAATGCATATAATCATTCTGGGTAAGCCACCTTGGGTACCAAGAGCACAGAGAGGGCACCGTAACAAGCTACCTAACATCCACTGCTCAGCAGATCTGATACTTGTCCCACAGAAAACTTAAGATCATTAAGGGCGGCTTCCTTACTGTATATAGGCAAATCTAAGATGACCCTTGGACTCTAAGTTTGCAAAGGCTGTGAAAATAAAAGCTGGCTGGGACTCAAGCAAGTGCAATGTGAGCTTGAAAGGAGAGCGAGCAGCAGCAGCACCTGGCAGACAGCTGGCCGAAGGGCGGGAGGCTTCTCTCCACCTGCCAATTCCCACAGGGCCTGAAAAAGGGGGAGCAAACCCGGCTGCACACATCTGATGCTCGTCCCAGTTCCTACAGTGACGCAGGCACTAAAGAAAAGAGCGGGAGTGCAGAGGGAGGCAGACGAGAGCGCAACAAGGGGCATCTCACATCCCTCTTGAACTGAGTGGGGTGCTCTTGAAGCAGAGCAGAGAAGCTCCAGCTGCAGCCACCTTGAGTGCTGCTGGCGGGCTGGCAGCTGAGCTGTGGCATGCAGCGCGCTGCTGGCTGGCCTGCAGGCACCCCGGAGTGTGCCAGTGGCAGAGGGACACCACTGCTCCCCAACAGAAGGAGGAGTGACGGCAGGAGGGATAATGTGAAGCCCTGGACATGCTTCTGGGAGGAGGGGGACAGCCTGAAAAAAAACAGGAGGGACGGTCAGGACACAAGGTTTCTCTTCCTCATGTTGCTGTGTAACTGTGGGCAAGCAACTGCCTCTCCCCAGCCCCTGCAAAATCAGCACCACCAACTTTATCTGCTTCATGGGGACATGGGTGGCTTTCTGTTCAAGGAAGCAGCTAAATTACTGCCACACATGTCCAGGTAACTCCCTTGGCAAGCTGTCAGGCCACAGAGGACTTACTTCATCTGTTACTGAGATGCAACAGTCAGGCTATCGTTCAGGCCATTAATTATTCACAGATGTTATCACTGCTCTAAGCAGAACGGAGCTAGTTTTCCCTTTGTAATTAAAAAGGAGCTAATCTAATCTGTGATATAGCTTCGTATCACAGCACCCAGAAACCTGAGACACCTGGTCGCACCCCAGAGTGGTGATAATGCATGCAAAAACTGTATTTGTGAAAGCTGGCCTGCTGCTGTTTCAGGCAGGAGGGAGCTCAGAAGTGCTCATCTTTGCCTAAGCCCTGCTCCCAGCAAAGATGATGGTGATAAGACTCCATTTAGCCTTCACAGGAACCAAGATAGGATTGGCATGGAGGGGTTTAAAAGTCCTGCCTTCAAGCTTAGTCCAAAGTCCATTGATGGACACTAAAGGTGACTGTTGAATGAATTACAACTTGGCTCAAAAACATTTTAGGTCTCTGAGCCAAAAAATATGATTTAATCCTACTAAATGTTAGCCTGCCTTAAAATGGATTTCCTAAGGAGGTAAGCTCTCTGACTTCTGTGTTGCAAGGGCTGTGTACAAAGTGCTACAGCTTATTACCAAACATGTTTGTGTGCCATCTATTTCTCCTGTGGGATGAGTGTACATCTGCAGTGTCAACACCCCCTTCTTCCCTTCTCCTGCTCAGAGAACTTGGGAACAAACCCTCTGTACAGAAATGGCTCTCGCATAAGGTGATTATTTAATCACACGGTCTGGGACTTTGTGTTTCTGCAGTAGTTCAGTGTCCCAGTGAATCCTAAAGGGCTGATGGTACAGTTTAGGGTACACAGTTCCCTTTACGGTGCCCAGTCACATAAGGGCTTTGGATCATGCCACCAGCCCCTTATGACCTTGTCATTCCTCTCACTGTTTTTCTTTTGTCTTCCTATGTCCTGTGCCGAGGACTGAGAGTTCCCTCACTGATCTCTCTTTCTCTCTCTTTCTTCTCCCCTTCTCTCTCCTTACCTTGCTACCACTATTGGGATGTAGAGTAAAGATGCTGGTATCAGGACTTTGGTTATGTTGGATGAGCAAGGAGGTAAGTTCAGATTGCTTCAGTAAGGACGTAAACCATTCTCAAAATGCTGTGCTAACTGTGTGCAACCCTGAAACCCAGGGCCATAAAACATGTACGGTTATGCATGAGAACCCAAAAATCTCTTTGCCTTCAGCTTCACTGTCTGACAAAGGAACGTACAATAGCTGTGTAAGAGTCTGTACTTCTTTTGATCTGTTTCCCATTAATATCAAAGAGAGCTGCAGGCTGAACTCATCAAAATCATCTTTTTTTTTCAGCAAGCATTGGGTCGAGATCCAGCTACATGATGGGAAGATTTGCCTCCATCAATATAAAATCCAACATTATTTAAGCAGGTGCTATGTAATTTTCTCACTTGTTTAGCTACAAGTGAAAGGCATGCAATATATGCATCCCAAGAGAAACTAAAATGGTTTGGGTTGTGCAAAATTCAGGGTGTTTTTTTTTTTTTTTTTTTTTTTTTTTTTTTTTTTTACAGAAATGTCAGTGAGGATAACAGGAGCTTAACATTAAAAGCTACAGAACAACCATCTCATTACAAGTGACCATATATGAGCCTTTAAACTTTGAGAAGTCCCTGCCTGTGGATGACAGTGACACAGACAGAGCTAGATGTATTCAGTGCATCCCAGGAAATTACATTTTTGCCCTTCATAATATCACAAAGCAGCAGGTAGCTTCTCCTTCACCCCCCCCCCACCTCACCCCCCCGAATAAACTAATATTTGCTGCAGACCCACAGCAACAGCAACAGGGAGCCTCCAAAGAGAAGTTAATCAACAGAGTACGTATTTCTGCTACTCTATATCAATCCAGCCCCCCAAAAGCCAGTGTTATTATTTAGTTTGTGGCACAATGTGAAACTGTGTTAGGAAACATTTTCTACAGAGGTGACACTCTGTAGCTCAGCAAGCCCCAACAACCATTGAAGGCAACGTTACAGCATTATTGGGAAATGGACTGCATAACCCGACAAGCCCTTTTCATCTATTACATCCCTGCTTCTCTGGCATGAAAATGAATGAAAAGTAATAACAGGACCTAAACAGAAAATATTTTCTTCTGTTTGCTGTTAGGTACATGTATTATTGCTTCTTGTATTTTATTTTTTTTTCCTTTTAAGGAAAAGAAATTAAACTAACCAAGTTTTTCTCATCAATTTGTCTTGACAAGAAAAATATTACAGATGTTATCTATGGATGTTTCTTATTTCCTGAATAATGTCAGCAACAGAGCTATCACTGAATACAGAAAAACAGATCATTTATATTGAAACAGATACAGCACCTGTGTAAATAATGTGCTTTGTTTCAGAAGTGTATTAACGCTTGAAATAAATCACAAATATTGTCAGAGAAAGTCTGCAAATGTCCACTTGTATCCAGTAACAAAAGTCAGGGGCAGATCCACAGAAACTTTAGCAGTGCCTCTAGCTTCCCTTGTGTTTAGCCTTAGGAAAGTAGGTTTCTTTTCTCTAGCTGTTGTTTTTCCACAGATTGCTAGGGGAGGTTATTTTCTTTTTAACCCCTTGTTTATTTAGTTACTTCTTTGGAGTTCTATTTGATCACTACTGGTAAACCCCTGCACTCTCGAGTCATCCCACCTAGTCATGCTAGGAAGGACTGTCCTTGTGAGCCAAGGCGTTGACCTCTCTGGAGGCCAGGAAGCTCAGTATTAAACTTGTATCGACAGTGAAAACTGGAATGCGTGTTGTATGCCCAGAGACATGGATAGCCGATACTTACAGGAAGGAATCAGACAACTTAAAAGCCTCCTTAAATTGGTTATGGTCATGCCTTAAGAGGTTCAGTAAATGAAGCTTGTGATTATAACACTATGGGTTTCTCAAGAAAAAACAGCCTAACAATGCTACAAACCCTGGGAATTTTGTAATTGCTGTACTATGTTAAATGTTTAATTATGTTTTGTCCATTTTAGCCATATATAGCTGTAATAATTCCTTATTTCTTTTATTATTTTATTTTAGCGACAAAAGACTTCTATTATTGGGCAAAATACACTAATGATTACCTTGAATCCTCTGTAATTAGCGCAATGTGTGCAACTCATGGATGTCTCGACAGATTATCAGATTAAGGAAATCATTTGCTAACACTGCCATGTGATCTCTTTTCAGCTGAGTGCACAAGTCACTTAAGATTATTAGGTGTTAAATAGACAAAAACCATGACATTGATCTTTCCAGTGGGTGGCAAGCAGAATATCTAATTGCTGCAATTGCTTGAAGCCCTGTTTCTAGATTTCTTTACAAAATTGTTTGCTAAGTTAAACATACCTCAGAAAAACTTCTCTGACCTAACCTCAGGCTCAGTAGCACAAAGCAGAACTCATTTTTTGACATCACAAGCAGAAATCTGTGGGATCATAAAATCAGCCAACATAATGATACACAACTTGGTACTCACGCAGCCAAGGCAGCCTGGCTAGCTCCTGCTGCCCAGTGGTTTGGTGCAACAGACCGCAGTCTGTTGTGACCCTACAGAAAAACGGAGCTTCACAAGCAATTTCACTACTCCTTTTTCCCAGAGGTTGGGGCTGCCAAGACTAAAAGAGACCTCCTCCAGTACCCTTTGAAGTCACCTGAGTGGGAATCTGAGTGGGCTTTTGGAGCAGTCCCTATGCAGAACAAAGAGTCAAAGAGTCACTGCCTTTTGAGCCAGGTATTCTCACCCAAAGCTGTTCCACACTGTCATTCCCTGAGGGAGCCCATAGGGAAGAGCTGAGGTTGGATGCTCCTGAATGAGATTTTATCCATCAGTGAGAAAGTCTTTCCCAGAGCCTATCTGCATCCATAATGCTTACCTTTCTTAAACCTGGCCTTGAGTCCAACTCCCCTGTTGAATTACTGAAATATACACATAACAATTTAAACTAAAATATTTATATTCTACACTAAAAATGTTATGCTGCAAAGGATTATTGAGGAGTAACAATTGCTGTCCTTATTTAAATTTCTTTAAAACATGCTTGCTTAGAAAAATGTTAACATTTGGATTCATGTTGGTAAAAAGCAGAGTGTAGAAATGAAACTGACAGTACACAGAGAGGATATGAAGATAAACCTGGACTGCAAAACTGGTGTGGTCCCAGAACAGTAGCTTTTTTCCTCCAGTGGGAGGGAATATCCTTCTCAGAAACTCCCATCACCAACTCGCATAGGAGTATCGGCAAGCAGAGCAATCTGGACCTTCAAGACTGTTTTGTGTGTGTGTGTGATGTTATCTCCACACAGCTTATTACAAATGAATTTTTTTCTTGTATTCAAAATGAGGTGTGGGGAGAAACATTTCCAATAACAGTAGCCACACAGCCCTTTTTCATCCAAGAAGAGAGAGAGGAGTATCCAAAACTTTGCTGAACTGAAAAAAAAGTGTCAATGCAACTGAAATTTTCTCCCTGCACCAGAGAAACTGCAAGTGCACAACCAGCAGTGCCAGCGACCACAGAGAGGAGCTTAATCTACCCAACAGATCTGTACTCCAGATCAAGTTGAGGTATGGAGGTAAAACTTTGGAATAATGAGGAATAACCAGACGTAAAACACAGCTGACAGTGCCCTTGCCAGCTGAGATCTCTACAGCTATTGTGTGAGTTTTGAGTTTTCCAGCTTTCCATGAGTTATGGCTGACCTGTTTCTATGGCGTTGGAAAAATGACTGCAGCAAATACAAACATAATTACAAATTCTTTCTGCCTGAGAGAAAAGCCATGGCCTCATGTGCAGGCCCTTTCCCCAGCTTATCTCCTATTTAACACCTACCCCGAAAATTGATAGGCAGTGAGATGTCAGAAGCAGAGCTGCTAAAGGCGCTCCACCAACACCTACGAGCTGAGTTGATTACAGTCAGAGCTGGTTTGCTAATTAATGAAAAAAAAAATGGTGGGTATCAACCATTCCAGATTCTACAGGGAAAATGGCATTAATTATGTTGAAAGTGTAGTGCAGAACAAAAGACAAACGAATCCCTCACAAAAGCAGGTTGTGCCTCGTCTACTGTTATTTTTAGCAGCAGTAGATGTGGGCTCCCCCCCAGCTTCCTTCCACTCGTATGCATGCTTGGCAATGCCTTTCAGAGCAGAGCTAGGTCAGGACTCAGGCTTTCTGAGAAGTCTGTCCTAGAAATGTACTTCACTCCGATATGATTCTCCTTTATGGAAAATGGGATCACCAGCTATCATTTGAAATAGTTAATCTGCTGATTCTCTTTCAAGCTCAGCCCTCTTGTATGCAATTATGATTACAATGTACTCTTAAATGTCCTTTTTTTTTTTTTTTAATTAATATTATCCTTGTTGGAAATTGCTTCATTGCACCATACACCAGGCAAAGGGCATGTTCCCTTCTCCAAAGGCATTTTGCTGACATTCAAGAAGCCCAGGCCCCTGTACTGGCCACTAGCTGAAGAATATTTATTATAAATTGCAGGTGGGCTGCAAAGGTGGAGCACACACACTTGCCCTGTCCTAGTCTTGCATCCCACATTGTGCTCAGGTGCTTTTACAGATGTGTTTGCTCAAGAGACCACAGGAGGAGTTCAGGGGAGCCCTTGCCACAGCTGCCCCCTCCCAGCCACTTCCCCGGATCAGTCACAGAGAAGGGATTTGCCAAGCTGTCACAGAAGCTCCCTGACAAAAGGCCACAATGCTACCATGGAACCGACGGAGAAAGCTTATGGTCCCTCAGTCACCTGTGGTGTGAACACAGAAGTAATTGACAAGTAAAAAAATATCCCTGCTTATACCCTAAGACATGCCATTGGTTTGCTGTAAAAGCTCCAAGCAGATATATGGCCACTATATTTGAATTCAAGTGACATTCTCAGACATAAATGGCATCAATATGCAAAAGGGGCTACTAATTTGCAGACCAACCTGGAAAAAAAGAAAAAAAAAGAAAAAAAAAAAAAAAGAAAAGAAAGAAAAGAAAAAGGAAATTTGAATCTACATACCCCTAGTGTGTATTCTGCCTCCAGACTGAGGCAATGCCAGTTACCTTATATACTATATATAAGTGTAAGGTATATATGTATATAAACGTAGATATAGACGCAGTATATTTAAAGACCACTGCAACAAACTGTCAAAAGATGTTTAAGCTCTGACACAGAAATGCTTCTGTAAATTAGAGATAAAGGACTTGATCTTTGCTGGTGAGAATTTACGTAGATTCATGGCAGTATATGCCAGCAGACTGTCTGTCCTAAAACCTTTAATACAATACACAAAGCTGGAAAAATCTTTGAAAACAATAAATTAAGCTTTTGATAGCCATCTAATTTCTTACCAGCAATGATTCTTTCTAGGCCAGGTTTTAATATCATTCATACCAAAACAAATTCAGAGCGACCTCAATAAGTTAATTCCTCTATAATATTTATGCCTCAATAATTGTGGGTAGACTGATGAATCTATTTACTTGCCCGTGGGACCAGATCTTTGGCAGGTATAAATTGGTGTTGCTCCATGAAGCCAACATAACTACGCTGATTTAACCATGTTAACGATCCTGCCCACTATATTAACAGCTAGCAAATGGTTTTAAGGGCTGTCTAGACTTCTGGGCTACAAACATGACATGGGCTTTTTACACTGATGAGGTTTCCTGTAAGGAAAGATAAATTAGTTGCTGATCACTTTTATCTTCAGAAATACCATAAGCATCACAGAAAAATCCTGAAGCGGGAAGTATTAAGCCAGATTCCTGGAGAGAGGTATAACTTAAACTAAAGTCTTTAAATCACATCAAATCTACTCCTCAGTTAACACTTACCTACTCAGGCAGAATAGGAAACAGGAAAAGAAAGTTCAGAAGGCCCTATTAGAGACCTGGCCTCAGAGACCTGAGCAAGGAAGCCAGGACTGAAAGCCAACCAGTGGTACTTGATCTAGAACTGATCCCTGCAGTCTTAGGTGGCATTTCCTATTGCACAGCCCAGGTTAGGAAAATGCAGGCGGCACAGCTGGTGGAAGAAAGGTCAGTTCCTCTTGTCCCTCCCAGTGTCGAAATATGTGTGTGGAAACTGCCTTCTTTTAGCTGAGAGCCTGGAAAACCAGCCAGGCTCTACAAACACAGTTCTCACAAGCAGAAAGAGGGAATCTGCGATGGAAATTAGCAATTCCCATCACACTGCATAAGCCAGCAGAAAAGCCAGCTGACACTGCCACAGCTGCTTCCCAGAGCAAGGGTGAGCATCGCCCAACTCTGCAGGATCAGGCAGGGCTCTGAGCTAGTGAGGAGCACAAGCACTTAGAGGAATATCGCCTTTTTCCATGTGCTCACATTTCTGATGAGATTCACAATCTGTGGGTACAAACGTGAACTGAAGCTTCTGCTCAAGCCTCCAGGCCAAAATGTAGAATTACCATGTGCAGTAAAACAATACAGCCTTGTACTTCTGGTTCTTTGCTCAGCAGTTTATCTATCTGGCAAAACACGTGCAAGGAATCTCTCAGGTTTCATTATTAGGTTCCTGATCCTTTGCTCACATTGTACGTGCTCCTTTTAGAGGACAATGCCGGGTAACTCTGACCTTCCCTGGGTTTGGGATCCATAATGCCCGTGGTATCAGGAGACAGGCACATCCAGCTGAGGAGAATGAGGACTGACAGCTGAAGAGCAGATGCAGGCTGGCAATACTGACATGGCACCTCTCCTTCTCCCAGCCCAGCATCATGCAAGGATTAAACAACAGCACAAGTCCAGTATTTGAATTATTTCAGCTTGAATAATTTAGGACAGGATTATCAAGACCCTCTAGGGGTGAGATGCCCAATTCCCATTAAAATTAATTAAATAGAATTAATTTTAATGGGAATTGGGCATCCAAATCCCCTGAACAGCTTTGAAAATGTAAGCCTCAATTGTTAGAAGAAACCCAAGTAAGAAATTAGGCCTATTCATGTTCCCAAACAGGTTAAGAAGAGTTTCACACTGACGTCAATGATTTTTTTTCTAAAATGTCTTTTTTTTTTTTTTTTTTTCTTGGCTGGGCTCAGTTAATATCAGGCATGACATTAGGTTTCTCCTATAACTAGTGCTGTCTTAGTTCCTTTCCTCTCAAGTCTAATTCTGTGTTTATATTTTCCCTACTTGAATATAGGGAAAAGGAATGTAATTGTTTTTTACTGGGATTGCTTTACTTAGACTCCTTAGGTATATTTTTTACAATTTTTTACTGCCGTTCCAAGTAACTTTCTCATCGCATGTAATACTTATTTAAGTTTGTCCTTCATGAAAGAAATGGTGAAGCTTTCCACTAGTGTAAAATGCCATAGCTACCACAGACTCAGATCCCTGATCCCATGGGATCCACATCTGTTTACACCAGTGAGGATCTGATCCTACAATTTTACATTGCGGTGTTCTGCTCCTCTAACACACTGCATTATTCTGATCTACCAAGTCACTAAGAAAACCCTACATCATTGTCTGCCTCAGGTGAAGAAGACAAATTCTGTTTGATGCCAGCAGGCAGAGACAGTGCCTGTATCAGGCTGGTTACTGGGCTTAATGCTTTGGTCACTTGCCCTAGAGTAAATCAGAAGTGACCCCAATGAAAAACCTTAGTCTTCACCTATTTTTTTTTTTTCATAAAATGGCTTGGGGAGAGAGATAATGTACATCACACACAGTGGTCCTCTTTCAGTGAGCATCAGGCTCCTCTGGTGGTTGTAATCCCTCTGTGTTTGCTGGGGTTACGCCTGATTTGCAGCATCCACGTGAGAAGGAAAATCAGCCCCAAAGCCACACTCAGATCAGAGATTAACCTCCCACACCAATCAGAGCAGCAGGTCCCAGGTTCCTCAGCCTCTGGAAAGAAGGAGTACTTTGAAATGGCTCTTTACAGCTCACACCATCACTGGTCCCATTACTACCAGCTCCCTCACTCAGGCACCCACTAACCCGAGCAGTTACACTGCCACACCTCACCTAATTCCAAGGCATTTATAAGTGTAAGTAACTGTGGTATTTTCCATGGAAGGATACATTTTCTCTTGTATTAACATGCATAAATGCAAAATAATAACACTTTATCTTTCTTTCTCTTGGATGTCATTGGTGTCTTAGTAAGTGGATGTATTGTAATATGTTAATGGACTTTAAATTTTATAACCCTTCCTTTTTACATCATTACATCTTGTTTAAATTAATATATTTCAAACATCTTCCTCCTTTGTTTTATTCTTTCCATATTAGTAAAAAACATCTTCGGCATCCAGTATGGCTTACATCCTTTTAACAATGCATCAGCTCAGATTAATGCATTGTAATGTCATTATTGATTCAGTTCTACATGGCCATTTTTCACATTCTGTTGAAGACAAAAACAAACAAAAATACAATTCATTCCACACTGTCATCCCTTTGTCCTGACCAGAACAACTCGATCGTGTTGAAGAAGGCATGAACCATATCAACCAAGACATGAAGGAGGCCGAGAAAAATTTAAAAGATTTAGGGAAATGCTGTGGCCTTTTCATATGTCCTTGTAACAAGTAGGTACTGGGTACCGGCTCTGCTATGTGGTGTCCAGTTTTTTGTCACAGTGAATGTCTGAAGTTTTTGTCTTTTTTTTCTTTGTCCTTTTCCATCTGCTTCATTCTGTGGGGATAAAATACTTGTGTTTAATCAGAACAACTGGAACGCATCGAAGAGGGAATGGACCAAATCAATAAGGACATGAAAGAAGCAGAAAAGAATTTGACGGACCTAGGAAAATTCTGTGGTCTTTGTGTCTGTCCATGTAACAAGTAGGTGCTGCCTGCCTCATCTCTTTGAGCACTTAAGGCTGATTCCAAAGGCCTTGTGAAGCTCATCCTTGCTAGGCACATGGACAGGATGAGCATGTGGCATGCAGAAAGAACGATTCTGGTTCAAATGCATTCATCTCATAGCATAGACAACTGACTGGGAATTACTGTAGATGCATTAAAATCAGGCATACTGCAGTGAAAGCTTCACTGTCGACACCTTTTAATGGTAAAAGTTTCAACATTTTACACAAAGTGTACTAAGTGGTTCCATTTTCCGGCAAACAAAACCACCTGGGGCTACTTTATTCCTGGAGGCCCTAAATTTTAAAACATATTTTCACAAAAAAAAAAAGTTTAAAAAACAACAACAGCAACAAAATTTGTAGCTCAAAAATGCAGAAGAGCCAATAATAAACATTACTCAAAATTATGGATGAAAACCATACTTCTTTTCATTGTTCAACAGAAATTGTCCTTGATGAGAGCCTGAACGAAACATGACATTTCACGATTGGAAGCCAACTTGAAATGGTTTTCATCCTGCCATAGACAACCAAATTTGAGAAAACCCAAACATGTCATGCCAAATTTCTCTCATTTGGGTAGCATGTACACTAAGCAGAAATGTTGAAATGCATCGAATTTGCTTGCATGCCATCACTCTTGAACGAAACCGTCCTCCAAGTAATGCAAAGCTTGTTTTAAGTGCCAAATGAAAATGTGATGTGCTGTTACGCGGGTGTAGGAAACAGGGGACAAAGTGGACTGACCAGAAGTCTTCGTGGAACAGCAAATCCAGTATGCAGTGAGTCAGCTACCACCTAGGTGTCAGTGAAACCATTTACACATGGTTGGCCAGAGACAACAGCGCAGAGTGCAGGGGTCCTGCAGTATCATCCGCCCTTTCTGCGTGGCACAGAAACTTTGTTCACAGGCGATCTTACCACAACTGTCAAGACCAAATGAAAGAGAGCAGTTGTGCAGTTGGGTAGGAGTTTGGCCTGGAGTAGGAAGGGCAGGACTGGGCTTATCAGGCAACATTTCTTTTGAAGTGAATTCCCTTGGGACCCAACGCAGACACTGCCTTAGATTTCAAAATCCAGTTTGCTCCTGTGTTCACAGCCATACGTACATTGCTGGGATAAACATTCTGCCCAGAATATGTGTACTACTGCCTGGTGTGCAGAATGGGAGAGGTGAGGAGGAATGGGAAGAGCTATGCACAGACCCAGCCCTGGTCAGAGGACCTGCCTGCAGCCGTATGAGCTCTGGCACAGGCTGCATCCTGTCCTCCCTCTGCATCATGGCAGGAGGCTGACCAAGAGCAGAAGAGGTGCAGGCAGAAGAGCATGCAGCAGAAACTTTGACACTCCCACACTCTAAAAGCTGCTGCAGCTTAGAGAGGAGCAAGCCAATGCAGTTGGCTTGCTTCTCCTGGAGAAATCTAGCATACATCAAAAGTTCTCTTGAAGCACACACACACACACAAAAAAAATCCCCATGCATTTTGCAGGATTTTTTATTATTATTATCTTTTTAAAACAGATTTAACATTCTGTACTGTAGGAAAGGCTAAGCTGACAGTCAGACCTGTGGCGTGGATGGGGTTACTACCTGACATGTGGCCCTAAAGCATTTACCACTACACAGTGATTGCAGAAAGCCCATGGCACGAAACTTTGTCCAGACTGCAGTCAAAGTACAACTGCTGCTGACCATGAGCAAGCCCAGACTTCACCTGTTTTAACTAGAAGTCCACAAGAAAACAGAGATTAAGCTCTGGGTGTATAAAATCATTCACGTTAAATGCAGAGACTGTGTCACTTTGAGTTGTGCAGGTCGAAAACAGACAAATATCTGTAAATGTGCATGCAGCAAGAGAACCACTTTCACTCATTTCTAGAAATGCCAACTGTCAATGTGTAGTTTCAGAGAACTAAGAAAAAGGAAGCCAAGCACTCTTCACAAATTGTAATAGGAAGTCAGCAACAAACAGATGAATATTTGGGAAAGATCCTCTTTGCATCTGTATTTTAATTTTACATCAAAGCATGCAACAAAACTTCAGGCTCAACAGATGCTAAGCTGCCTCAGGGGGCATGGAGAGAACATAACACCAGAGATGGGTTTGTTGTGTCCTTTCCCAAAGCCCCCAGAAGCATGCCAAGTATCTCCCCCAAATCCAAGCCACAGGGCTGTTTACATGTATATGACTGAAGAACAGGGGAACCATGGAGACTGGCAGTTCCCAACAGCTGTGTTGGAAACTGCTCCACTTCTCAAATAAAACCAAGAATTCACAGCTACAGACCCCAAACGTTCACCCTCTCCTGTCACAGTGTTCGATCTAGTCTGACATCCCCAGTGACAGCAACCCTAAATATGCTGCACATGCTAATCTGCCACTGAAGGTATGCCTGGATTTTAATTTTCTGTCCACGGCAGCTCAGTCAAAAATGGCTCTCTGAAAGCTACTCTAACCGTCATAAATAATAAACATAGTGACATGCTAGGCTATTTTAAAGTCCTGTGGTTTAAAGCTCCTGAAGGAAGTGATGATCCATTTTTGCCTGTGTCTTGCTTATTGTGAAGGCTGTTACTGCTGATGCATTAAGAGTATGATGAACTATTGGGGCAACTGTGCTTAGTGAGAATGCTTTACTTCTTATTCATGCCTGTAGCTGGTGCATGAAGAAAATGTAGAAAAATTTCCCTTTCTGATGCTAGATTGCTTGTATCTTTTCTTTTCTCCTGCACTCATTTCACTTCTGCCTATTTTACTTTTTGTCTCTGTGGACAAAGGTTTGTACATCAACTGTCGATGTATGATTACTATTTTCAAGTACCGATATATTATTTGAAAATCTAATGAACCCTATGAATTTTATGATAAAATCATCCCCAAACCACCATGGAAAAGGTTAGTGGCTTTAAATGCCTATTGTGCCACATAAATGTTAACAGCAAAAGCTCAATCTTCTGCATGGTAAATGTTAAAATCTAGCCAAATCCATTTTTCTCTAAGAGGGTGTGTTGCTGTGATGTGATGTACACACTATACTTGGCAGTTTTGTTTTGATGTCTGTCTGCCAGTACGTTCTCTGTGTTTGATGTCACAACGTATGTGTCACTGAAATGAAATAATGTTTTCTAGTTATCTGTATTTCTTCTCTTCTTCTTTTTTTCTTTTTTTTTTTTTTCTTCTTTTTTTTTTTTTTTCTTCCTTTCTGGAAACCAAGTCAACATCTAAAAACCTGTCTGAAGTGTTGTAGACTTGACAATTGCAATTCACCCTATTGGAAACAAAACCTCTGACCATCACAGTTTCTGTGGCAGTAAAGTTAAAAAAAATCCTTTTATTCAGGGTTATGATATATCGGTATATAATCAATGACCCTCTATCTGAAAACTCATTTGCTTGATTCAGCTTTTAGCTTGGAGAAGTAAAGAGTTTTGCATTTGTCCTTGTCCACTTGATGCTTTGTTACTCATCATCTTTTTTGCATAGGCTTAAATCAAGTGATGCTTACAAAAAAGCCTGGGGCAATAATCAGGACGGTGTTGTAGCCAGCCAGCCTGCACGTGTCGTAGATGAACGGGAGCAGATGGCCATCAGTGGTGGCTTTATCCGCAGGTGAGCCTTTTTCTCCACTGTTTTCTCTTGATTTTCCTTGTCAGTGATATATTTAGATTTCTTCCATATGGTCATGAGTTCTGTGATGCTCGTTAACTCCTTCAGCAGTGCTGGGTAATGAGGTGCAGCCATTGTTTTCCGCTGGGTGGTGGGTACTTAGATACAGGTTAACACCCACTGGGACAGGTGCTAAGGACCCACTGCATCCAGTGACTCCCCCCAGCCCTGCTGGCACTTGAGGTAGCACAGAGGGTGGTGATGTGCCGTGAGTCCTGGATATCAGAGTTTCAGCCCTAAGAATCAGAAGATGCTTCAAAAAGCAGTCCTAAAGCTTCCTGCTTGAGACTGACCAGATCTGGGCAATAATAAAATAGAAATAATACCTAGTTGCATACTGCACAGCAGCAATGTTAGGGTGCAGACTCTCACAGCTGGTCAGCCCTGTCTGCTGCACTCCAGCTCCCTGGAGGCAACAATGTACAGTTGTCAAATACCTCAGAAATGAAGTGCCAGATAAATACTGGTTTATGATTACTGCCTCAAGATACATAGAGCTCATTATCCATCCTTGCTAGAAAATGTACCAAAGCATCCCGCACCTCTTCCTTTTCAAAAAGAGAAGAGCCTTGGGCTCTATGCCACAGCAGAGCCAAGCGCAGCACCTGAAGCACACTTCCTACCAGAGGTACATAGTTTTTGAGAAAGCCACTTCCCTGCTCATGACTATCCAGAAAACCTCACTGACCAGGGAACGATGATCTATTCCTCAGCTGCTGTAAAATCACAACTGTGGGGAAACAGCAACACCTCAGTGGCAACCCCTGTGCACTCAGATGAAAGCCAGTTTGAAACACACAGCTATACTAATGGCAACCAAGCTGGAAACTTCCAGCAACATGTAGGGATCCCGCAATAAGTACATACCGATTACAGTGTGTATAGAGCATGTATTTAGATGACAATGCCATCAGCTGAATGGATAAAGGCATACCAGCAGGCAAAGCTTTGATCTCTGAAGATTAAGGACACTGGATTAATAAGTAATTATCTTTCCAAAAACTATTATCCACTTATTTTTTTGGCTGCTGTGATAAAGGGAAATCAGTGTGATAGAAACAATGCTGTCATGCAATCTGGAGCGTGGGATGGAGTTGCCATTTAAGTTTGCTGGGTCTGCCAGTCACTTTTTTTTTTTTTTATTTCTGGATGGCAGCCCCATCAAACCAAAGGCTGGGACATGCTAGCAGAATAGAAGTGAAGAAAAGTTATGCCATCCCATAATTCTTTCATGACCAGCTTCTGGCATACTCTTGGCACCTCTATGAACACAAATTACACAAAAGGCTCAAAGTAGTGATTTTCTGAGTGGGGTCCATGGCCTTGATTGTTCAAGTGCCAGTCACCACAAGCCTCTCCAGTTGCTGGAGCACTGGACTGTGCCCTGGCCCACGTGTGAGTTTTTCTTTTAAAAAACAAGCAACTATAAAAGACGAGGCTAAGAGGAGAGAGAAAAGAGGCTGTCCTTGTCCAATATTTCAGTGAACCCCAAGTCTGCGAGGACTGGATGGTATCCTGTGTAGGTCAACTGCAGGGAGCTGGTACGGCTTCAATTCCATCATGCTCTGGCACTTCCACATGCCTGAACCACACACAGGTCCATGTGAAGCATCCTTCCACTCTCCCACATCCTTTGAGAAGGACCATTGCTAGCAGAGAGGTGTAATAAGTGGAACAGAGAAACTCAGACAAAAACATGTCTAGGAACAGAAGGAATGAGTAGTGACAAACCCAGACAATTAATCCCCGCATCCAAAAAATAAGCATGTGAAGGTTTTCAGGCTAGCTGCTTATTAATCCCTTTTCTTCACAGCTGAGCATAGCAGCATGCTCCACAGGTGACAAGCGAAGGAGGATGCAGAGGAGGTTCTGGGTGAATCAGACTTTCGGGGGAACTTCCTCTCTCTTTGCTTCAAATAATTGCTTTTTGTTCCCAGGGTAACAAATGATGCCCGGGAAAACGAAATGGATGAAAACCTCGAGCAGGTCAGCGGCATCATTGGCAACTTACGTCACATGGCCCTGGACATGGGCAACGAGATCGACACACAGAATCGCCAGATTGACAGGATCATGGAGAAGGTAAGAACTTAGGGAACCCCAAAAAGTGCTGTGTTTTCCCTTCTGCAAGCACAGGCTGTGCCCAAGAGGGGCAGAAGGTGTGTCTTCCAGCCTGCCCTCACAGAGTAGTAGTTTTAATTCAGCTTGGAGGAGGACTGGGGATGGAAATAGCTCCTAGAGCTCCTTTCCCTTCTCCTTCCCTATCTCTGGGCCGAAGCAGAGCTTGCTGCTATGGATCTTCAGTAACCTTCCCTGCAGGCTGGGTTGAACCCGCATTGTTGGCTTTGCAAGACAGCAGCTGGTGAGACCTCTTCCAAATAAAGTCTCTTTCTGCAAGGGCTTTGGGAAAGGAGAAGTACCCTGAGTTGTGCAGAACTGTGGAGGTTGGACCCTGGCACTTCCTGGCAAGTTTTAAACCTTCCTGGACTTTACTTTCCTCAGAAACTCCACAAGAGTTTCAGAAGGGGATCACTTGTTTAGAGGACCAGTCCCAAAAAGACAATGGGGACATATTAAGCAAGGCGGTAAGGTAATGGTGCAGCCACCAGCTCTCTCAGCATACTACACATACCGGGACCCTACACGGGCCCCATGAAGTCCAAAAGCTCAGTCTTTCTATCATGAAATCACCATTTGAAAAGGCAGAGAGCACCATGCCAGTGCCAGGCTGCACTGCAGATTTCTGAAGCAGATAGCAGCACCCTCCAAACCCGGCTGGGAACTCACTGCCGTCCTCACATCCCAAGATCTGCAAGCCATCTGCATTCACACTGGCAGAGCTCCAGGCACCGGCACAGCCAGGCTGAAGTGATATAAGAGGCTAGATCTTCATCTGGTGTAAAATCAATACAACACTTGATTTCAGCTGAGATTTACACAACCTGAGGATCTAACCCAAGGACTTACATGTGCTGCTTAGACTTAAGGCTGACCTTAAGGGGTAGAGCTTTTACTCCTGAGCCTTCTGACACATGCAAACCTTCTTACATGAGCAGGATGTCCATGCCTGTTTTTCATGTCAAGTAATTATATCAGAGCCTGGCACACCAACAAAAAAATACAGAAAATATTGCAGTCAGGGATTCATTCAGATAACTTTCCTTGCTGGGGTTTGATACCAAAGAGTAATAATAATTACTACTACTAATAATAAGAGTAATAATAATTGGGTGAAGTATAAGTTGTCTTAAAGGCAGGAAACTCATCTCACACAGCACAGAAGAGTACACAGCTTTGTGTATGCATGAATGCAGCTGTCCTGAATTCTCCTATCAATTCGTGCTTGTAAACATCTCAGTATTGAAATCACTGACCAGGCCCTTTGTGGTCCCCCACATGAAGCACATGGGCTCAATCTCGAGGCAGTGCATGCTGAGAGCAGCTGGCTAACGGAGGGACTGGCCTTCCACATCTGCGTGGTGTTCCTGCAGCGTCACGTGTACAGCATTTCATGCAGCCATGGGGAAACTGCAAGCTATTGCCATTTGTTGAATTGAAGACCAGTGACACAGTTCTGTAAGACGGGCAGTGTACACAGAGCAGTCATCATGAAAGCAGCACAAAACAAGACAGCCTTCAGTCTCAATGAAGATATGCCGAATTTCTCTGAGTAAGGACATGTGGCCTGAGCAGTAATGAGATACTAGAAAAAGAAACACAATTAGGAAAACCTCCTATAAAAGACAGGAATGATATCTGGGTAATACTGAAGCGACAAGTGCATACACATCCACTTTGCAGTGCAATATGGTGGCGGGCAATAGGGCACTGATGGAGAGGCTTCCTTTTTCTGACCAGCTGGAGCACTGTGCTTTTGATCAGCCGTGCTCATTAGAAAGACCCGGGGCTGGCACACATTGCAAAGGCTGGGGTACATCACAAAGCTAGCCCAAATGCCTCTAAAGCACTTATGTTAAACTGGATGCGTGCATCCAAACCAGAGCAATGTCATAATGCAGAGAGGTAATCTGACTATCCACGGTAATCAGGGGACACAATAAATAAAAGGCTTTATCCTTCCCTCAGATCGGAGAGAAAAAGACAAAAACTAAAATGATGATGTGGTAAGTAGGTCAAATGGGCCAGACATCATCACCAGAAGACAACCTGGCCCTAAAACAAGCCATTATTGGGAGGCTGGGAGGAAAGCAGAAGGGTCTGAGAACATTTTGTGTTGACCCAGGTGGGAAGGTCTGGGCAAGGACTTCCACTGCCTTGGACCAAACATCATCCAGCAAAGTTAGGCTTTAGGATTCCTATTTAGAAACATTATGTTTCATCAATACTTAATAATCAATGTGCATGCATTTCATGACAAACTTAACTGCTTCCAAGCCATTAAGTTATTTTTTAGATAGTCTTTTGGCAAAAGCACATGAAGCTATTCCATGATAGACAAGGTCAAATTCATAGCTAAAATAAAGGAGTGTGGTTCATAATGAGTAGTTATGCTGATTTACGCTTGCTGAGGATCTGGCACATGCTGCTGTACTAAAAATACACATCTACATAGCATTTGCCAGATCTATTATGGAGAAAAGCCCAAGATGCTTAAGAATGATTTATTGCACATCAGTATAACCATTTTTAAAAGGTTTTGAAATGTATGTGGGAAAGTTGCTTCACCATTCTGCCTTGGCAAATTGGAGATTTAAAATAAATCTGTACAATTTGGATACACCCCAGAGAAAGGGGAATAACCATCAAAGTTTAAAAAAAATGAAGACATCAAACCACAGAAAAGAGCTTGCTGTTTGATGTCATGCTTTTAAAGCAGTAACACAACTCTCACCTTTCCCACAGGTCTGATTTCAAATACTGAAAGCATTTTCTCTCTAGTCCCTCTGCTAGCATAAATTGGCATAGCAACATGGGCTTGAAGGGAGCTTTGCCAGTTTTTGTCAGCTGCAGCAATGTCTTTGTCTCCAAAACTACCTTCTGCAGAGCAACAGAAAGCCACGGTGAAAAGTGCTCTGTCCACTGGAAGAGCACTCCTAAACCTCCAAGGTGTGCTGCTTCATTAGCGACGTTTTTTAAGCATGGGAAGTGTTACAACAAGGAAGACGGCTAAATTAACAGCTCAGCCTGTGCTGGACTAAATTCCGGTTTGATTCTTTCAAATAATGGTAGAATCCCAAATGGTGATAGACTCCCTTCCTTTGCTTAATCCCTGTCTGTGCTTCTGCCCGATGAGAGGTTACTGTTTTGCAACTATGCTGGCGAGCTTTTTGTTGAGAGAAAGCAGTAATGGCACCACTCCTACCTACTCCTTTCTTGTCACGTGTGCAACCACGAGATCCAGACAGAGCCCATGTCCACTGAATCTAAGTCTTACAGAGCACTGGCAGCTTTTCACTGATGAAGTCCACATGGCACATCATCAGTTTACATGCCATCACTGTTAATGGTGCAAGCAATTAGCACCAGCTGCAGAGCTGGCAAGGTGTTCTCTTCAGTTTTTCTCTTCTCTTCTCTTCTCTTCTCTTCTCTTCTCTTCTCTTCTCTTCTCTTCTCTTCTCTTCTCTTCTCTTCTCTTCTCTTCTCTTCTCTTCTCTTCTCTTCTCTTCTCTTCTCTTCTCTTCTCTTCTCTTCTCTTCTCTTCTCTTCTCTTCTCTTCTCTTCTCTTCTCTTCTCTTCTCTTCTCTTCTCTTCTCTTCTCTTCTCTCTCTTTCCTGCTGATGCAGCCAACACCAGAGGAGTGTCCTCAAAGCATTGTACACGTTTGCTCTCTGACACAGTAATAATTTGTCTCCTGTGTCTTTCCCTAGGCCGATTCCAATAAAACCAGGATTGATGAAGCCAACCAGCGTGCAACAAAGATGCTCGGCAGTGGTTAAATGCAGCAAAGTGCATTTCCTTTTAATGCTGTCCAAGAGGGCAGTACCTTCATGCTTTTATCATGGTATTTACCTACTAGGTTTGCACACATGCACATATCAACCCCATTGTAAATGTTGTCCTGTGTAGTTTGTCAGCTTTCCAAAAATGATACTTGTAATTATTTTTTTCTAGATATCTTTCTTTCCAAAGGTTGTACATAGTGCTGATTTGATGGCTATAGCTCACTATGATGTTTTCTGGGATTTTTCCTTTCCTTGTTTCTGTTTGGATTCCTTTTCTTTTTTCCTCTCCTTTTTTTTTTTTTTTTTTTTTTTTTTTAATGATGTTTGCTGAATGACAACATTGTTGGAATGCTAAACGTGCTGTTAACCTTTAAATATACAGTATTGTTCTTGTAAAACTGTGACATTCCACAGAGCTACTGCCATGCTCCTGTCTTTGGGTATCATGATGTTTAAGCACTTAAACCTGCTGTCTTCGGTTCTTCATTGCCATTATCCGTTGTTATGATTTCATGATTAGACAATGTGGAATTATATTACTATAACAAGCATTGCACTACAAAGTGATGTGATTTATGCATTTATGCATGAGGAATAAATAGACTTTTAGACTCCTACTTAAACAAGACTTTTTCCCATGGCAGTAGCACACCAACAATGACAACAAAAGCATGCTCAGTATTCGGACTCTTTTGGGACTATGTTATACCAGCAAGTTTGCAGTCGTGCCACTTTTTTCTTGTTGATATATATAGTTATTAATCATGATCATTTATTTATTTTTTAATTACGAAAAAAAGAGGGATTTGGCACTCACCATTTAGCCATTGCCAGCAAAAGAAGCTTGGCTGAAAATATGTCAAAGACAAAAAGAAATAAGTGTAATATATTGGGTTTGTCTGCTGATTTTGAAGACTATCTTTTGGAGGAAACGACTACCATATGAAATGGTGCAAAGAAATGTAATTTTTATAAGGCTCTCTCTTACTAGTCGCTATCCCCATGTGGTTTGTTATCGGTACAGTTCTCTGTTGCTTACCTAGAGCTATGCACACCAAATCGCTGAGATGTTTAGTAGCTGACTTAATTAAAAAATAATAAAAAAACCTAAATGAATGAACTCTAGATAAACTGTGAGATAAATATCATTTACAGCATGTAATATGAAATTCCTTATGTCTCCTGTCAGTTTGTGAAGTGATTGACATTTTGTAGCTAGTTTAAAAATTATTAAAAATTATAGATCTCAGAATCCACGCTTGCTTTATCCATTTGTTACTCTATGTGTCAGTGAGACCCAGTTATTTGTCACTTACTGGGAAAAGGAGAAGCACAAGGAGGTCTAAAGACTCTCTACAAACTGGTTTTGTATGAGAATTTTATGAGAAATTTCTGTTTGCAATACTGTATAAGAGGAAAAGTATCTTGTCTAAAAATAGCATTTTTCACTAAGTACAAAATGAATATTATTTTAAATAACCTGGCTTGGATTGCCAAACACTGAATCAAAATATATTTTCTTGTTCAAGGGAAAGGAAAATGAAATAAATGATGTGGTGCAAAAGGGTACAGTTCTTTAGTCAATAAAATTCATTCCTGTAGTGGATCCAGCCACATGTTAATATACTCCTTTTCAGGGAACACTTTGAACTACAGAGTTCGTACAGTATGCTAAGAATAATTTTCTCAAAGGACTAACAACAAGTAATGCTTACTGCCAATGAAAAGTGTTATCATATTTTCCTATTTTTTTCCCCTATATGGACAAATTATAATTAACTCTACATGAGTGACAGTTCACTCATGCGTTTCACATGGCCCTAAGTCAAAATATACAAATCACATAAATGCTAGCATAATTAAAATCACATGATAATGTATACACAAGCTGTATTTTCTTTAGCAGCTTTTTATTTTTAGCATCTATTAAAAATTCATTTATGTAAATATTTTTCCCCACTACTTCAAACCAAAGAGTAAACTTCAAACAAATATTGTTAATCTGCTGGCCATTTCCAATTCTGTTCATTCAGGGATTCCAGTATTTGTGACAGCGCTGTCATTCTGCACAGTCAAAGACTACTGAAAGGAGGGCAGTAATCGTACTGGAGAACATGTCAATATGAGAACATAAAAATACAAGGGTATTTGAAAAGGGTAAGGAAAATATAAAAATGCAATGGTTATTTTAATAGAGGTACTCTCATCTGCATGATGAAAGCACCATATCTGAAGAAAAATAGACTTCCAAAGTATGTTTTGGCTGCTCAAAAATATAAGCTGTTGCAGTGAAGGAAATCGCTACGGTTCGACATCTGTTTTAGTCTCAAACAAAGATGAAAAACCAAGCTATTGGAGTTTTTTGCCAAACAAAGTTTAAAGCACAGAAATATTGAAATGTTAAATTGCATTCATCTTCATATCCTCTCCCACTGTATGCATGGTCTCTGAGGAGACGGCTGGAAATGGCTTAAATAAGTAAATGTAATACATTGCATTTCTCTGATGTTTTTGGAATTGACTTTTGTAGGATTAATTGTTCTTGAAACAATTCAAAGAAAGCTTCGATCTTTTGCAGTTTGCTCCTAGAGCAATCCATTTCCATTCATTAAGTTTCTGACACGCCACATCCCTGGGGGATCGGCTGCCCCATGGTACAATGCAGGCTTCCCCCACGTCTGCCTGCTGGAGGGGCAGGGCCCCCTGTGAGGGAGGGGACGGTCTTTATCTTGCTTCCGCAAGATAAAGAGGTCACGCTGACTGCAGAAACAAAACATACCGATTTTTTTCTCAAAGGTAAATCCATCTTTTACCAGCAAGAAATGTCCCTTTGACCAGGATATATTTTCGGATCAGCAATTTCTTTTGCTGTAGTGCCATCTGGAAGGCTGAGTTTGATACAAGAAAGAATGAAGGTGCTTGAAAAAACAAAACTTCATTAACCATCATTTAATTGTAAGCTTGCAATGCAATTTCATGAAACGTTTGTGCACAACACGGCCAAATTTTCATGTTCATGTTGTTTGTTTTTTCAGTATTCTCAAATGCCATAGCTGAATGAAGTACCCAACTGGATTACTTAAAATCTTGCTTAAATTAAAACCGAAGCCCAACTGTAATACAGACTCTGTTGAGCTCAGTAAGCGCACAATTAACAACTTCTTTTGTATCATGCTTTCCCCTCCTTTCCTAGAAATAGAAATATCAAAATAATCTCCCCAAAGTATACCTAATATTATTCCTCAACAGAACAAAATACATAAGTAATGTAATAAAGAGTGCATAAAAACTGTCTTCATTAAATACCTGGCCTGATGTCAGCAGTGAGAAATGAAAAAAAAAAAAGAAAGACCTAAATAACATCAGGGAGGATTATCTGAAATAACCGTAAAGCCTTTAGGATGTTGATGCTTCCCAACATTAGCATAAACTCACCAACTGTATACTCAAAAGAGCTGGTTACAGTTTTCCAGGCTGACACAAACACACAAAAAGAAACCATGGGTCATACTCAGTACCCGGTGGTTTGATAGAGCACATGGGAAAAGCACATGGACTTGACATAAGGTACTATGTGAAAAAGAATTGATTACTGTTCCTTGAAGATTTGGTGGTATTACTGCATGCAAAAAGAAAAACCAACTCTAAAGAACAGGATACATTTTTTCAGAGAAATGTAAATTTTATTAGCTTATGTGTCAAATAGGATGCATCCTTCTGAAGAAAACTATGTCCCAGTTAGCATGACAAACTGTAAAGCACCTCCTCACGGAGATGCCTGTGCCACATGACACACTTGTTACGGATGTACATTAAACCCTCTAGAAATCCAGGCAGCTATTACTCTCCAAAATATTCTGTGCACCACACCAGTAACCAACAACCTCCACAGACTTTGGATTTGGACCCAAATCTGGTGAGATTGCTCAAGATGCATTTGGGGGATCTGGAGGCAGACAAATCAATTCCCACACTTCTTCCCTCCCTTTCTTCTCCTACATGTACGTAAGCACATATAAATCTTTTATTTTAAAGGCGCTGAAAAGGGAAGAGCTGAGCACTTAGTAAAAAGGAAAATTATGTGTCAGAGACAGCTTAAGTATATGCACTGCTGCTGTGTGTGCCTGTGGGCGTAGGTGTGCGGGATGTGACTGCTGTCTTCTGAACCATTTTGTTGCCTTTCTAGAAAGAGATGGGGACAGTTAGTTTGGAAGTTAGTAGAACACAGCATTTTTAAACCTGCAGATAGCTACAAGAAATGCAGACATAGGAGATGAACCCTGCTGAGAAGTTAGGGCACTCTGATGGTTTGATGGGGCGGGAGGTTATATTTATTTTAGCTATTTATTTTTCAAAGCACTTACCAAACAATGTTGGATCCTCTGTGTAAGAGGATTCAGAGAGATTATGTTTGTGTTGTAAAATACTAAGCATTTTTATTTGTTTAGTTTTGAGCAGTACTTCATAATTAAAAAAGTAACGATGGCAAGATGAGGGAAATAAAAAGAAATTAAGTGGGACCACTCTGATTTGCAGCCATCGGGGCTGTATGCTGAGATCACTGCTGCCTGTGCCAACACTGCATATAATGGGGTGAATGGTTTACCCTTCTAGGGGCCAAGGAGTCAGTAGCATATGGAGGGTGTGCACATTTTTGCTTGGTAGGCTCCACAGCTGCTTGCTGAAAATGAAAAGTAGCAACAAGGGCATAAGGGTTGCTGCTGCCTTGGTATAAACAATGAAATAAATGTTGTGGGAATCTTTCATGGGAGAGTCCCAGCCTCAAACTGCCTTTTCCTTCCCCTGGACCAGCCTCCAGCTCCCTCCACACTGCTTCTGCTCTGGCCTCCAGCGCATCCTGCACCTTTGTCCCACCGCTTGTTTCTCCTGTCCCTTTCTCCCCGGCTTCTGTCAGCTCTGCTCCCTCCCTCCTATACCACCCAGCACCTATCCTATTGCTTTTTCCTTCTTTTTTTTTCAGCTGTGCTCAATTAGCCTTCCTTCAGCTTTCTCCCTCATTTCACTTGCTTCATGTCCATCCACTTGCATGTTTGTCACCCTGGGCTTTCAAGTCAAGCTGTCTCTTCCATGATCTCAGCAGGAGGAGCACCAAAGGAACAAGCAGCCTCTTGCTTTCCACTCCACAGCTGAGCACCACACCACTCCACCACCACTCAGAGGGACACCTGTAAGAAAGTCTTGCTCAGCCCTGTCAGTCCCAGCAGGCAGCATGCAAGTTGCCAGGAAATTTTTTTGGATAGTCTATCCAAAAGGATGCAGAAAGTGTCTGCAGGTCGATGCAAGCGAAGATGCTGGGACAGCTGCGGACAGAAGGCAAAGCACAGACACACAAGTGCAGGCAGATATTACACGGGAAGGCAACAGCTGAGGCTGCTAAATGTTGTGTCTGTGGCCCACAGTCCTAGTGGATACCAGTGCTCCTCTGTGAGACAGCTGGGTGAGCTTTTTTAACACAGGCAGAACAACTCCTCCACTTGCCCAAATTTCATAAATCAAAAAATAATTTTATTTTAAGGTGAAGCTTTCAAAACTGTGTTTTTAAAAGGCAGGCAGAGGAAGTAGGTTTTCCTCATCCCACCTGGGACAGATCCCCAGTGCTGGGGTATTTCATCCAAAATCCATAACAGCTCAAGCTGGCGTAAGAAGGTTAAAATGAAACAGTATAGCAGAAATGATTTAGCTAACTTCACTATAGGAAGTCCTAAGCTAATTTGCTAAGTGTTAGCTTAAATATAGGCAGCTGGAAGTTCCACTTACAGCACAGTAGGTTTTCCATCTAAATACTGATCAAAAGTTCATTAAAAGGAATAAAATAGTTCTTATCCACATTAGTGGGGGGTTGATTGGAGCTCCAAAGCATAAATATGCATAAATCCCATTGTACTAAAGGTTTTCTTGGGTAACAAAACCAACAGTATACAAGCGTGAGCAAAATACCTTTAAGTAAACATACCTATTTTGACTTTACCGTATAGTACTCCCAGGCTTGACAATATTAACAATAAGCCCAGCTGATGACAGCATTTTACAAACTGTTTTTTGCTATGTGTAGGACCCCTGAAAGCCTAGGTGGCCCTTCAAACAGCTGGGTGACAATATAAACCCCATGAAAACATATGCTTAAAAGTTTGTTTGGAGAAAACAGCATCTATAATTCTGATATTCAGCCTTAAGCCCTTACCTTAAAACATATTTTCAGTGCCCACTGCACATTTTGGTTTCTTAGATTAAATTA